GGAGAGGGGGGAAGCCGCACACATAAGAATATGAAACAATGTGAAAAAAGAAAAAAAGGACGACGGCGGGTGTGGCCGGTGCGGGTGTTTGGATACGTTGGGACATAAAGGCTGCCATCATCATCATCATCATCAGCAGCAGCAGCAGCAGCAGCAGCAGCAAGGGCAGTGGCAGCACAAAAGTGGAAGCAAAGGTTGCTCCGCGGCTGTGGCTGCGGCTGCGACTGCGCTGACAGAGGAGGAGGAGGAGGAGGGAGAGGAGGACCCTGTTCCCAGCTGATCAATCAAATCCACAACACGTGGGGCACCTACTTGAAATCCTCGTACATGATGCACATGGGCACCTCGGGGACCTTGTTGCCTGTTTTGGATCGCGACAAGTTTAAATAATAATTTAAAGCTTGAAGTAGCGGTCAGGGGTCGGCGCCGAAGGTGGAATGGAGGGACACACAGCTCGCGTGGGAAGCAGAGCACGACGGCGGTGGGCGGTGGGCGGAGGATTGGGGTTGGGGTTGGGGTTGGGGGAAGGAGGAGGATGGGGCCGCTGTTACTCTTACTGTGTAGCTCGCAAAACCCTACCAGCACCACCTCACCCACCCCGTCACACTGATTTTAATATCACCTTCCTGCTGCTACTGCTACTGCTGCCCCCCCCTTGGTGCTACTGCCGCAGGCGCTCTGGTTTTCGTCTTCAGCCTTTGGTGGAACAGTATACAATAACAATATAGAGAGTCATTTACACCCCCTAAGCCCGAGTAAGTTAACCTGTAGGTTTTACGGTTTTACGGTTTTACGGTTTTAGGGGTTTTGGGTTTTATACCTGTGTGTGTGGATGCCTATTGGAGAGGCGGGCTGTGCCAGGAAGGAGGGATGATAGAACGAGTGAGGGGGCCCCCCTGACTAAGGGGCTTTACACCCCCCTCCCCTCCCTGGAGCACCCCCTGGTGCGGTCTCACACTCTTCGACTTTCTTAGCCTCTTGCATTATTGCATGTAAAAAGGAATGAATTCATCCATGTGGACTGAGAAAAACCCTAAAACCCTCCCTCCCTTCTGCCCACATCTCCCCCTATCACCTCATCTACCCAACCACCCGCAACCACCTCCAACCACCCACCGGGGTACATCGGCTCCGGAAGGGGCTCCAGAACCGCCTCCTCGTCCTCTCGACCAAACGGCCGTAACAGCAACCCAATGGCGGTCTGCGGTTAATAACAACCAACCAACCCAACCAACCATTTAACCGATCAACTGTCCCAGCAGCAGAAAAGCGGTATCAAAAAACCCCAAGTGCAGGTTGTGCGAGCGCCCCCACCCGGCCATATGACGGTATTAGAGGCCTTTGGAGGCGGATGGGAGGGAACATCAACACACACACACACACACACACACACACACACCACGCTGGCCCATGCTTCCATCCCTCACCCTCGCCCTCGCCCTCGTGACCCACATCCCCGGGGCACCCAAACCACCACCCCGCACTACACACACATACACACACGCACACACGCACAAACACAGCCTTGGAATCCCCCTTGGTTCGTAAAGGCGGGACCGCTAATTGCTCGTACAAGCAGCGGATGTAACACACACGCAGGCACACACACGCACACACATACACGGCACTCGGCCCCTCTTCCCCAACCCCCTTGCCTGCTGTACGAGGTGTACGGCCAAATCGGACATGACACGATGGCCCTGGTCGCCTGGATGGATGTCTGGAAGTTGGGAAAACGGTTGGGGAAGCGGTTGGGATTGCAAACTTGCGGTTACGATTTGCCGGGTGGGGTTGCGGGTTGCGGTTGGATGGGTGGTGCCTTGGATGCGACGAAGGTCCGGACGTTACATTCGTTGTATGGCCAACTGCCAACTACCAGATAGTCGCGAAGAAACTCAAAGTACGAGCTTTTTCTTGAAAAGTCGTACAGGAGTACGAATGTGCCTCCCGATATCCCCCACCCCCAGTTGGGCCCCCCCTGGAGGGGCACTCACCAAAAAATGTCTGATCCCACCTAAAGCCATCAGTCTCCTTAAATGCGGCAAGGCGATACAGTGCCGTACGCACAGACAGCATCTGCACATCGTAGTACTGCGCGATGGCGCCTGTACGGCATTGGTCACAACGGGAGTTTGGCCAACCCCTCAGATTGCGTTCCTCTTCACTTCTTCGTTCCCCACCATGTCATGCTGCACTGTTACTTGGCGGTAAAATCGATAACAAGAAGCTAGTTGCAACGAGAAGTTAGTTACAACGATAAGTTAGTTGTAACGATAAGTTAGTAGCAACGATAAGTTAGTTGTAACGATAAGAAGCAACGCTCATTGCACTTCAAAGAACTAAAGACCTGAGCTCCAGTGACAGTGGCTCAGAGCAGTCAAGGCACACGGCAAGAGGACGAGCACACGGCAGCTGCGGGCGGGCGGGGGGGTCCGGGTAACCCGCGGCGGGCAAGGGGGGGGGGCGTCGGTCGATACACACGGCCAGCACGCGGTCACACTCACCATCCACGTCTTCTAGGGTTTCATAGAAGCGTCTGTCCGCGACAGCGAGGTAGGTTGCGTGTGTAGGTAAGTAGGTATGTAGGTATGTGCGCGCGAGAGGGAAAGGGCCGGGCGTCAGACAAGAAATGTACGCCTGTATTCTGTCTGTCTGTATGCATGTATATACATGCATGTATATACGTATGTATATATTTACGTTTAACACTATTACCCGCTCCAGGAAGAGGTGAATAGGGGAAACAATCCACAACAGAAAGTACGACAGTTTCGAGAAAAGGTCTTAAGCCGTACACATTCCAGCCCTTCCACCCAGGCATACACCAAAGCACAACCTGGCACCGGCAAACCCCCCCCCGGGGGGGAAGAAAAGGCACCCAATCCTCAACACCCGCAACCCTGTTACCACCACACACACACACACACACACTCACACCACACACACTCACTCACTCTCATTCATTCATTCACCCCCCCCGCCCCCCAAATCCAAACCTCCTCCTCCCCTCCGAAACCCACTTGTATATATCCCCCGGGTGCCGCGGGTGGCCTGGCGGGTATGACGCCATGCCGTGTGTCGGCGAGTGCATGAGAACCACCGCAGGCCGCCGCGGCAGTGCTAAGAGCCGCCGTACAAGTCGCTCCATGTCCTGTGCTCCGGAAGGGATAGGGGCAAAGGGGGGGTGGGTGGGAAACGGGGGCGAGATGGGGAGGATGGGGGCCGGGGGGCCGGGAAGTGTTAGAAGTGTCTATGTGGGTGTGTTGGCTTCCTTCCAACACCGACCGCGCAAGGGGCGAGCTGTCTGGGGCTGTGAGTGCCGCTTTGGCAGGCGGGGGGAGCGAAAGAGCAACCACCTCCCAACCACCTCCCAACCACCTGCCGACAACCTGTCGACAACCCCACCACGCCACCAGCCACAACAACCAAGCACGCACACACACACACATACACACACACACATACACACACACATACACACACAAACACACACACAGAGACACACTCCTCCAACGGCCCTCCCGACCCCACTAAACCCACCCGAACTCGATCGTTCTCAACGGAGGCAATGTACCCATCATTGAGGGTGAACTCTATGAACACCAGCTCGACGTCCTTGTGGTCCACGGACTGCTCCAGACACAGACTGACATGCAGGACGACAGACACCGGCCGGCGGAAGTGGGGTTGGGGAGCGAACAAAACCCAAATCACGTGCCAATTTACAATTTACAAATCCGGCTGCGGGAGATATACATACTGAAATACAGCAGAGGCATCATCACACCTAAGAGGCCAGGAAGGCTGTAGATACGCGGACAGACGCAGAATACCAACCGGCTGGAGTGGAGGGGTATATGCGGGAGATGGGAGGTACGAGGGGAAATCATATGCAAGGAAACAAATCATAAACAAGGAATGAAATGAATGATCTGGCGGCGTGCTAAGTCCAAAACTGGTGCGGGGGACGCGGGGGGTAGGGAGGGACTCTGGGGGGGGGGCTGCTCAGCGAGCCCACAGGCCCAGCAAAGACATAAACCCCACTCACTTGCGACAGACATACACGTGTACACACACGTGCACGTATAAACATACATACACACTTACATCATGTATGCACTAGGCACTCCTGGCACGCAGCCGTTACGTGCGGTGATGTTGGCTCGGGGGAAGGCCTCGATCTGCGGCCAAGAGGGTTGGAGGTTGGGGGTTGGGGGTTGGGGGTTGGGGGTTGGGCGCTACTGAGGTGGGGGGTTGTAACCCCCACCCCGGGGTGGGGGTTAGGGGGACGTGGTGCGGTGCAGCGCGGTGTGCGGCGTGCGGTACTATTGAGATGGTGAGGGGGTGGCATGGGTGAGGGGGTGGTGATGCAGTGGTGGTTTGCGTTCTCATTGCGTCGAGGGGCAATGGGGGATGTGGATGCGCGGAAGGCAGCGAGTGCGCAGCGGGTCGAATGGCAGCCTAGCCCTGGCAATAGCCCTAGCCCTAGTGCAGCTGGCGGTGGCGGCGGCGGTCGTGCGGTGCGTGGGGGTGCTCTCTGCCTTATAACCCCCTCCTTTCCCCCATTGCAAGGTCACGGGTGATCAGGGGCGCACACACACACACACACGCACACACGCAGCAGCCCCTGGCCAGTGTCAGGCCCGGATCAATATGTAACAAATACACAAACACACAAATACACGCACACACGCACCCCGAACCCGAGGTGGTGGTGGTGGTGGTGGTGGTACGTACCATCCACTTGGAGAAGTGGCTGAACCAGTCAGTTTCCCCGCGCCTGCTGACCCCCTGACCCCAGCTTATACTACACGGTAGGAGGGGAGGGGGGTGGGGGAAAGAGGTAAGGAGCACGCGGGGGATAGGAGATGGTGCACAATCGTAGGTAGCCTTTGGGGGTTGACAGTTCACAGGTAGCCTTTGGGGGTTGACAGTTCACAGGTAGCCTTTGGGGGTTGACAGTTCACAAGTTAGATGTCGGTGAAAGGTGGGGTACCGAGAAGGGCTCCTTCCCCTTAATGAAAACGAGTTACTGAGCGCTTGGCGAAGCCCTGGCATTCAGGTGTGGTGGGGTGGTTCGGGGTGACGGGGGTGGTGTGGGCGCGGGAGGGAGGGGGGAGGGCGCAGTGGTCATCTCGTGAAGCAAGCAAACGCGCAATCTACTACTTGCCTGCCGCCGACGATGCCGACGTGCACATCGTGGCCGGCAACCAATCGGCCAATGACGTGCCGCAAACGTGAAGAAGCACCGCGATAGGTTATTCCTCTTTCAAGCTGGGTTACCGGCAGTATGAACTGATACGACTTGAACATTGACGAGAATATACTCGTCAAGGGCTGCGACCCGATCGACACGCTTGAGTACGTGTGTCCCCAGTCCCACTGCAAATCCGTGCGTATAGCAGTTCGCTCTAAACTGTTTTCCCATAAAGCCAGCACCTGGCAGGACTGCGCGATCAAAATAAACACCGTAGTAACTGGAAAAAGCTGCAGCAACTTCCCGAGCATTTTAGTTTGGGAGCTAATATGTCATAACTATTCCACGCATAACTATCTTAACCAGAGATAAAACGCGAGAGCCTTTCCAATTTGCGACACGGGTTAAAGCTATGCGACAAAGTAGGAAAATCCTTTTGGTCGCCTGGATTAGCAAGTTACACCAGTTTTAAGTTTTTGTTGTCAAGGAAAAGAATTGATAAAATGCCGTCAAGTTACACCTTTCCAACAAAGTACTCAATCTTTCAACAAGTTCAAGTGCATTAGCTCCACCAGCTCCATTCCATGTTGTACGAAATCCATACATCGCTGGCCGGGGCGTAGCACATTTCTAATGTCTACGGCAGTCTACGGGACGAGCAACGGCATCGGAAGTAGTTTCCGCCGTTACTGCGCCTATAGAAATGGGCCTATTAGATCAATTTCTGTATACTTAGCGCTATCTGACGCGTGGTGGAATAACGCTTCTGGCAGGTTTCATTATAAATATGAAATTAAGGAATTATTCCTAATTTCGAGCCACCACCCCTGCAACGCGATGCCCAAGAAGCAAATACTACGATGCAGATGAAAGTTACGTAGAGGACCACATAGATCGTTGCTGATGGGTGGGCGCTAACGTTGCTCGCATCTTTTACAAGTGCGCAGCCCCGAGAAGTCCAATCCCCCAGCAAAGTGCCCAAACATTTAACCTCATGTTGTGTCAAAAACAGGAATTGCGAAAGCTCCCTTATCTTGTTAAGCAACTACACGGCTCTGCTTAGACGGTATCTTCTGCTTCAGTTGCTAGAGCAGAACTAGGCTTCCGTCACCCTGCAACTATGAAGGCAATATGATTGGGCTCATCACCATCATACGAACTCCTTTGTTAGCATGGGATCCACGCCGTACTGTTTCTTCAAGTGACAAACTGCCTGTAATCGTCAAAGCTCCTTATCGCAATGTTGCCATACATTAAGAGGATTATCACTACCTGGCCAGAGGTGAACAATGGCTTCACTTTCCGTGATTTTATTAAGTCCAAGCACGCTGGCCTGGCGCTGCTGCAGTTTTACATCACGTTACATCCAGCCTCAGGGAACTGCGAAGAGTAAGCTTAAAACTGCAAATCCTTCAAACTCTGCGCGAGAACCTCGTTTCTTTTTGCTGGGTTCCCGGCGCCGTTCTGCCGTACCTCTAGCACAACGTCCTGCAACCTTTCCTTATGGCGGGGCCCTGCAGATGGACCTCAAGAATCGTCGGGGGCCAGGTTGCCATTAACGGGTCAACTGTGTTAGAACCTGACCACGTCCTCAGGTCGGTTTGGCAGCAGCAGTGACGCAAGCTGCACCTGGCTGCACATCCCATATGGCCAGCATGCATTGGAAGCAACCGCGTCTTATTCGTCCGCAACGCCACAAGCAGAGCCTCCGGTTGCACGTTTGGCGCCATCAAGCTATCTATCTAGATCTATTGCCAGGCAGGCCATTTTTCAAAATACAAAATTCAAACACAAACACGAAGAGATCAGCGAAAGCGTCCTGTTGGGGCCCCAATTCTGTTCGCCGGAAGAACCATCGTTGCGAAACTGAGCCTGTAATGGCCCGCATGTGTGTCCTTCACCATTTTCGGCTGCAACCGCACCCGCACCCGCTACCCGACCAAGGATCAAGAGACCGAGACTGGCCCAAACTACCAATACAAACATCTCTGCTCTTTTCATAGTTGCATTCTGTGGCTTGGATCGTCTCGCAGGGTTGGCGATGTTGTGTCGTACACACGGCGGCCATGGCGGGAGCCGCCGAGTCCGAGCTACGTGGACGTGCTGTACGAGGATGACGACGTCGTGCGTACGATTGTTAACTGCGATTGTTAACCAAAGTCGTAATCACCAAAAGTTGATTTTGTTTGCGGGCCGCATCTGATTTTTACCTTTCTCTCCCCCTCAAACATGGACACGCACACACGTACACACACACACACACACGTACACCCCTCAACACACTCGTTCGTGCATCCCTCAGGTCGCGCTCTGCAAGCCCGCTGGTCTGCAAGTGCTGCCCGCAGCCATGTTGCACCAACGCACCGTCCTGACCCTGCTACAGCACCACTACGGCAACCCACCGGTCGCAAACAAAGACGTAAACGCACCGGCTGCAACTCTAGCTGTAGCTGTAGCAGCAGCACCACCGCCAGCAGCCCCGGGCGGCAACAACTCCCCTGAGACTGATGAGCCGCCGGCTCCGGCTGAAACCACCGCGGACCATTCCCAGCATAGACATAGAGAAGCCCCGCCGCCTTCCCCCTTGCACCAGCAATCCAAACATGCTCGACAGGGACAGCGACAGGGACAGCAGCGGCCTGTGCCGGGGATGCCCGAGGGAACGCGGGCCTGTGTGGCTGTGGCTCCCGTGCACCGACTGGGTCGAGGCACCTCCGGTACGTGTGGCTGGCTGGATGTGGGGGGAAGGAGTAGTGGGTGAGTGGCGATTGCAGAGGAGAGGCCTTGGGTCTTGGGCGCGGGGCTGGGACCATCGTGGAGTGTTTTTTTGCCTCTTCACGCCGCGCCGCCGCTGTGCGCACTTACGACAGTCCACTCCACTCCACTCCTCTCCACACCGCGCCACATCTGCCCTGTCCGCAGCGCGTCTCCCCGTTGTGTGATGTCATCTTCTGTGATGTCCGGGTGTGCGCGCACAGTGTGCGGAGTGGCTTGCGTGCTGAGCATGCATCACACAACGGGGAGACGTGCTGCGGACAGGGCAGATGTGGAGCGGTGTGGAGTGGAGTGGAGTGGAGTGGAGTGGCTTGCGTGCTAAAGACATCACACACATCAAGCCACTCCGCACCCTGTGCGCGCACTCTCGGGCACGACGGGGTCTCTAAATGCGTTCGTTCGTTCGTGCGCGTCTGTCTGTAAGTCTGTACGTATGTATGTATGTGTGTTTCTGCGGTCCCTTACCACCAACACGTGGCACCTCGCTTGTTTGTCTGTCATCGCAACACACAGGTCTGCTGTTGTGTGCACGCACCACACACGCCAGGCAGCGGCTAACCGAACTAATGAGCGGCAAAACCGCCGCCGCCGCTGCAGCAGCAGCAGCGGCAACGGCGGGCACTGAAGCAAGGGGGTTGGTGGCGGCAGCACAACTCGGGGGCGAGGACGGCGGCAGAGCCTCGTCATTAGGCTCTGAAACCACCGTGCCGCGGCCTCCCCCGCCGCCGCCGCCGCCACCGTTGCGGAAGATCTACCGGTCCCTAGTGCAGGGTATTGTGGCGGAGGATGAGGTAGGTGAGTGGCGGGTGGTGAGCCCCAACGCCTCCGCAACCCTGCCGTGTCCTTCCCAAACCCTCTTTACCCGTCCTCCCCCCCCTCCTTGCTGGCGGCCCCCCGCAGGGCCGTGTGGATGTGCCCATAGGGCCCGTCCAGTACCCGGGGGTTGACGGGGGCCTCTTCGCTGCCACACCGGGGGGCAAACCCGCTGCCAGCATCTGGAGAGTCCTGGAGCGCCGACCCGGGGGGGGCAGGAGTCGGCAGTCCCCTCCTCCGCCTCCAGCTGCTGCTGCTGCTGCTGCTGCTGCTGGGGTCGCTGTCGCGGCTGCTGAGCTAGATCTTGGAGGGGGGCCCGCTGTAGCAGAGGCAGTGGCAGAGGCAGTGGCAGGCGAGGGAGGGCCACAGCGGGTAGAGGAGCAGCAGTTGCAAGGCCAGCAGCAGCAGCAGTTGCAACGGGCTGGGGAGGCAGCAGCGGCTGCAGCGGCTGCAGCGCGGACGGTGGTGGAGGAGGACCAGGGGGACCCGGGACATACACTTATGGAGGTACGTCGTCAGTACACACACACACACACACACACACACACACACACACACACACACACACACACACACACACGCACCCAGACGTCGATGTGACAGGTCAGAGAGCACGCAGGGCTGTAGACCAGGATCACCCTGGCGCACCGCTTCCTTGTTTCGGGTTCGAAGTGCTGCGTGCTGACGCGCGTGTGTGTATGTGCGTGTGTGTGCTCTATCGTGCTTCGCACACCTCCGCGCACAAAGTACCTTCACAGCAATGGAGGGGCTGTTTGTCGATGTGAGCCGCCCGCAGACCGCCCGCAGACCGAGGCACTCCGTAACCGACTGATGTGTTTGTTTTAGGCGCTTTGTGTTGCGAGTGCGAGATTGCCGGTCAGCGCTTTGGCGTGATGATGTTGTGGATCTTCCTCAGTGGTGGATTTGGATTTTTTCATCTAAGCACTATTTTTGGATCTACGTGTAATTTTTGGATCTACGTGTAATTTCTGGATCTACGTGTAATTTTTGGATCTACGTGTATATAATTATTCAGGTGGAGATTCTGACAGGTCGACCGCATCAAATCCGAATCCATATGGCTGCAATGGGCCATCCACTCGTTGGAGATCCACTGTACGGCATCGGTGGCCTTCCCCGGGTATGTCGTACACTGGGGCCGGCACGGGGATCGATGTCTCCTTTTTTGGATCTCCTGGGATGTCCCGACCTCTTAAGGGGTGAACGGGAAGGCATCGTGACGTCATCGTGGCATGCCGCAACACCCACAATATTAACCCCAGTATTGCAACAACAACACCGGCGCCACCATAGCGCCAGCATCAACGTAACGTGGACACCACACACTGTGTAACACAATCTCCAGCTCCATCATCACCTCCGCCTCGTCAACGCGTCTATCTTCCCTCACTCACTCCCTCGCTCACTCCACGCATTCTCGCCCGCCCGCCCAGCAGGCCGGCCTAGACCTTGCCGTACTGGAGGAGACGGAGTCAGGTGCTGCATCCAACCCCAAGTCCTCTGATCTCCGCGACGGTGCTTTCGGAAGGCCAGGTGCGTGTATAAATGTGTGATAGTGTGTGTGTGTGTGTGAGAGAGAGAGAGAGAGTGTGTGTGTGTGAGAGTGTGTGTGTGTGTACTGACCCGCTTGTTTCTTATGGTGTCCATCTCCTGGAGGCGTCACGTGCCAGGACCAGGACCAGGGGAACCCGTAATAATCTCTCAACCTCTATCCCCTTCAATATTGCAGCTTAGTTCAGGCTGAGGCTTACCTTATCATACAATAAATATGTTATATATATGTTATATATAATATATACAACATATTTATTGTATGATGGCGTTCCTCTCGCTCGGGTGTACACTTACGTGTATGTATGTATGTGCCATCCCCCGGGGCTTGCTGGGCTACACAGGGTTTGGCGTTATGTATGTCATCAGATCGTTCATTACCCCCGAGCCACAGTTCACAGGCTGCAGAGGACTTCACTCGTTAACTTCTGGATCACATGCCCATTCTGTATTCCGGAGCAATCTTAGACCCCTCCAAACACACCCCCATCACAAACACACCCATTCCATCCACACGAATTTTGTTTCTTGTGACGAAGATTCACACACCAGACTGCCCGCCTGTCATTCATCCACGTTGCCGTGTCCACCTCGGCCCGTCCCCGCCCGCACTCGCCGTGCTATGCAGGGGACTGCGGCTATCATTTGCATGCTCTGGAGCTCCACCTGCCCCACCCAACAACCACTAGCCACATGCTGCTGCTCAGGGCGCCCCCACCCTCGCTGCTCATGACAGCCGAGGAAATGGAGGAGGAGATGGTGGTCAAGGTGGAGCACCGGTTTGAGCTATAGAATGATGGTTGTTGTGTTGGAAGTGGTCGTGGCAAAGTGGTCGTGGCAAGTGGTCGTGGCAAGTGGTGGGGCAGGCGGCACCTGCGGGCGCATGGTGGATACTGCCACAGTTTTTGTGTGGCCAGGCAAGTTAAGACTGGGTGTTAGAGCAGCGCAGAGTGGGCCGCTGATAGCTGGTGGCAGTCCAGATGCCTGTGGCGGTTGCGGCATTAATGATTCAGATCAACGGTGTCAACGGTGTGCTGAGAGTTAGTTGACCCTTGGTGAAGAGTTGCGTCGTCGTTGCTGTGTAGTTGGCTAGTTCTGATTGATCGACACATTCTGTGCTGGTGACAAGTACGTGGGGTTGGATGATGGCTAAGCTCCTAGGCAGACTGAAGTCAGTGTGTGATAATTGGAGTCACGTAATATGATGTGTGGGACAGGGGGGGCATACCTTCACCCTGTGGCCGCCACCCGGCAGACCCTGCCTTCACCGGTATTTCGGGGCACCCGCATCCAGTCACCCTAGCTAACTTTTCAGTGGATCGCTCAGGTTCAGCACCCACCACCGACATCCAACGGAATCCGCCGGATCAACGGTGGCGGCTCAACTCCATTCCTGGTCGGCTCGCAGGTCAACTTTATCTCAGGTCACCACCGTCCATCGACTAGGGGCACTTTTACCTCCCACCATCGGAAGGATTTTTCGACCTTGACCGGCCTCGATAACACATGTTATAATATATATGTCGCCTGGTGTGACATAGGGTGCTTGGAGAGGTGGGGCAATCCGATGGTGCAAACCGGCCGTCGGGCACCGGACCAACCGCTGTGCATCGGCGCTGGCCATGCGCACGACGTCCCGATGCAAAATCCGGAACCACAGCCTGACCACGTTGCATGTGCAACAAATGTCTGAGCCAACTTCCTAACTGTTGAGAGAGCCGACGATTGGCATGCCATACCCTACATGCGGCGAAATCAAACGAATCTCCCACATACACATCTCGAACTATAACCATAAGCATGTACACCGACCCTGGCTTTTCCCTTCAGAACCCGCTGATTGCTATAGGGTTAAGAGCAGCGCCTTGCTCCGCCTTCCTGGAGCCTTCTTGGGTTCGGGACCATCATCCATCGCCCTAGCAGGTGCCGATGTCCGTCATGTGGCGCTGTGGGGCCTCCCCACCTTCTCCCCTTCCCATGCGTTGCCTTTATTTTGAGCTGAGATGGAGCCTCCTTTCCAAGGGGCTTCCACGCTTAATGAAAAGCCTTTGCTTGATTCCGGTTGGGGACTGAGCTTGGCCTGCACAGAGAATAATGCTAAGTCCTACCATACATACGTACCTCCACATATGTACATACTTACATACACCGATACACATTTACACAGATACACATACACGCAGATGCATGTACGTACTTAGCCACCATGCGCTCTTTTATCATCGTTTACATGAGGCAGAGACACAGGGTCGCGCGCCCCCGGACGAGCAGGAGGGGACCGTGGCCCCTCAGGCCCCTCTCTCTCTTCCCGCTAGGGGGAGAGTGCTTCGGCGGTCGCTCCTTCCCACTGGGGTACGGTTAGGTGCCCATGGCCAGCGTCAGGCCCGGATCGATGTGTAACAGAAAACACACACATACACTTACACACGCGTGACGGAGCCTTGACTTGTGAGAGCGTACGCGCGTGCGACGCCTCCTCCCACCCCCCGGGGGAGGAGAGCGGAGCTAGCGGACCTGCGGCTCTCGGCTGCTTAGGAGGGGGCAGAGGCCCCCCTCGCGCTCCTCTCCCGTCCGCGGGCGAGAGCTTAGGCGGTCTTTCCGTTGGGGCTGGGCAGCAGCCCCTGGCCAGTGTCAGGCCCGGTCAGATACTTGTCACGTTCGCACACATGTACACATGCACAGATACACATACACATACGCACAGATGCACATGTACACATGTTACACGCACACACAGATACACTTCTGCTGCGGCAACACTGACGATGTACAACTCCAGGCGCCAACAACCGGAACCCACGGCGAGAGAGTACAACCATTCCCTCGACAAACAAAACCCGACACCACTTCCCCCGACACCACTTCTCGATGATCCCCTTCCCACTCGAAGTCATGCGCGCTACTATTGCCCCACTGTGCGACCCCCAAGCGCCCTAAGAGCAGCAACAACAACAACAATGGGTGCACCACTCGCCGCGTGGAGGTGGATGGGCTTCCGTTAGAGGTCCGTGGTGGGCCAGCCGCCTGGATTACCTCTTAACCCCCCTCTACCCCCCCCCGCCCAAAATAAGTCCAACAGATTACAGGGCGGCCCATTCCCGGGCAGGCAGGCGGACAGGCGGGCAGCCGGGTGGGTGAGTAGGTGGACATCTAAAACGGCTCAGACCCGGCTGAAGGACACGAATCAACTCTCCTACGGATTAACACACGATGGCAATAACTTCGGCAGGCAACTACGTCCTCCTCCCCACAGATGGTAGCGTTGGCAGACACCGTACAGCATCGTACCTCGTAGTGTGTACACTCCAGCAGCAGATACGGGACAGCCCAGCCCCCTAGTCGCATTAAAAGCTCCCGACCTCACAGCAGCGTACACATGCACGCACGCCCCTTTGATACACTCACACGTCTGTACATCATCCAGAAAGGCCCGTGCATGGGTCGTAATATCCTCCACTAGCAGCAGCAGCAGCAGCAGCAGCAGCAGCAGCAGAGCACCCAGTGTGGGTGTGATGTGTGATGTGTGATTTTAATCGTCCCGTGCATGGCCCTATCCTCACAGCCCGTTGCCTCATTACGCCACCACTACCAGCTAAGCCATTCTATATATGGCGTCCCTACCAGTGCTGGCACTGCATCCAGCACCGTTTCCTGCCCCGACAGTTCTGATGTTTTATCCCACCAGGCGGGCCATGTGGTGATGATCTGTTATGTGTGTATCGGTGATGGCACGGGCGAGATAGCCGACCCTCGGGTCGCTCAATACACAGGTTCACTGTCATCTAGGGCACAGCCCCCTAAAATGCACGGCTAAAGACCCCCGATCCGATCCTGCCTGACCCGATCCTGCTCCAGGATCAAGCAAAACTACACGGGTTGGCACAATACTTCGTGCAGCAGGCAGTGCATCACCTCCTTGTGGGCGATAATAACGGCTCATAACGTACCAAAATAACATTTGAAACTTCAGATGTGAAGTCGAAAATCTCATCCTGATTCAGTCGCTGCGTCTAATGCCCCTGGGTAAGGCAGCCAGCGATAAAAGATGAAATATAAGTCCGTGATGTGGCCTTGTCTTAGTCATGATGTATTGATGCTGCGTCGTACAGGCCAGGGGCGTGTTGGAGTAGTTGGTTTCTCTAGGAGATGAGCATGCGTCCATCACCTTTGCTCAATCCTTAAACCCATACCGCCGCCAATATGTTTGATCCATATATGTGCACATATATGAGATATACAATGTATACGTGTGTGTAACATATGGGATATGCGCACATTAGGCATAACATTACAGGCTCGACTCACGGCTAAACAGCTTCATTTATGCCAACTTGATTTAGTATACCTATAGTAGTAATATGTAGTGCGGGCAACCAAAATTGTCATGCAAGCTGCAGTGCGAGGCCGCGCGCGTGTCGCCATAAAAAGCATAGGCCGCGACTACCTTTCCTGCCGACCTCCCTGCCTGTCTGCCCAGCGCAAGCCGCATTCCTCCGACGCCTCTGCCTGCCGCTTCTTCCGGGCTTCACATAGGCCTTCGTGGTCCTTCGTTTTTCCCGACACACACCACACACATAGTCGGTCTGCCCTCCGTTCACATCCTCCCCCCCGGCATTAGCTGCCTGCCCGCCGGTGGGGGCCGGGTGGTGGTGGAGGTGGCTGGATTTGGAATCCATATAAATTACCCAAATGAAGACATCTACCAACGAATTCAGTCAACTCAGCATCCATTAGAACAGCGCGGCTCCCAATGCCAGTCCCTGCATTGCCTGAGTACGCGTTTCACTACGTATAAGCGTATGTATATAATACATGTGCAGTGCAGGTCACAGACATTACCAAAGCATGAAGGAGGGGGAGGGCGCATGAAGGCTCCAGGGCGCGTGGAGAACACGTAACACCAACGTAACACCAACTCTTTGGCCCGACCAGCAGGTCTCAAAACGGCAGAGACGCAGAGAACTTCGGACACATCGGAGCAACAACAACAACTATAAACATGGACCGCCTCAAATGGGGGAGGGAGGCTCGTGTTGTCCCTTCCCTCGCCGCTTCTTCAGCTTCTTCCTGTGGGTAGCCGCATGCCGAAAAATACACAAGACTGCGCTACCCCAAAGTTTGGATTGATTGGGTTTCAGCACCAGGGAAAACTGGCGCCGCAAATCGGTTCCGGGTACAAGTTCATGCACCATGAAGTCCTCATCGAAATCAGGGGCAACATAAAAGCAACCCCATAAAACATTAATCTGACAAGCTATAAAACCACAAAACCATAAAACATAGCATCCGAACTCGGTCTAGATTCGCGCAACGGCGCCACCTGCTGAAGCCGCTAATAAGAAAGCGGATAATCAATTATGAAGGTCTAAACATAATGTTCATCCTTCCCGTACTTCCTTTTTTTCCCCCATCCTTCGACACCTTGCATCATTCAGTCACGGATAAAAACTGCATCGCCATTAATCTTAGCTAATTGTAAAAATTGAGCATCCATCGCGCATGATGATATTCTTCCGGCGTTAATTGGAGGCATAACGGCAAATGCCAGTCAAGCACCGGCCGCTGGCCTCACCATCCGCCGATCAGCATCCCCCCACACTTTTTTACCACTTTGACACACCCAACCAAAACCAGAGATACTCTCGACCTCTGGTTTCATAATCCATTACCATACTCTCGCCATATCCGCGGCTTCCATGGCCACATGGGGCATCCTTTGCTCTTTTACGGCCTACCGGAGCCCTCCGAGACAGACCCAAACTTTGCACAGTCACACAATCACATACTCTGAATCTTCCTCCCATACTCCTCCCCTACAGGCGTACAAACGCCGCACCTGCTCTAATGGAATGTTTTGTCAGCCCAGGGGCTCATTTCCGCTACCGCTGCCGCGCCCGGCCAGCAACGCGGCCCCGCCGCCAGCACCGCCCATCCCGTCATTTCCCCCGGCGGCACCCCACACCGCTTTCGCGATGCTCAGTGGCCCCGCCATAAGGCCCCTCCCCAGTCCCACCATTAATAGGCCGTTCGCCAATAGTCCGTAAAATGTCCGGCCGCCGCTCATAGGTACAGCCCCAGCAGCCGCTGCAGCTGTTGCCCCTGCAGGGGCTCCTCCACATCCCCCGCCCACTCGAAGGTGCGCATGGATCCCTTGCCCTTGATCGCCGTCAAGCCCAAGTCCCGCCACGGCTCGCTCGGCAGACGCTCCCGTGTGGCGGCGCTTACGTGGATGCTGCCAGGTCGGCAGGTGGACTCCATGCGACTGGCCACGTTCTGCAGGGACACCAGACAAGGAAGCAGGGAGAGAAACAAGAGAAGCATAGAAGGGAACAGGGAGCAATCGCTTTGGCTATATTCTTTTCGCTGCCTGCTGTGACCCATGGGTCGGTCTCTGTCATGAAACCAAAGTTGACCGACGAAAAGGTCGAAAGCCGCCGAATGTGTTGGTGGTGATCTAGCAAACGGTTTGACAGCGTCCACGGTGTTTTTACCCCTGGCCGAGTAAACTTTTTCATTCCAAAAAGAGAAGCAAATCGCTTCGCACCAAGGCTATTCATTTCCGAAAAGCAGCGAGTCGGGGGACGGTGGTGTTCCCAAGGAGCGAAAGGTCCGCGGGCGGGGGGCAGCTCGCGGGGGCCGGTGGAGAAGAGGCGGTGAGGAAACACGAGGGAGGACGGATGCGGTAACGGGAACGGGGGCTGCAATCAGGCTGAACTCAGGCGGAATGGGGAAGCGCTGCAACCAAAGGGCTCTGGGGTGCGTCGCACCAAAGGGGGGGGATCGTTCCCCGTCAGCCGAGCCCCCGTCAGCCAGTCCCCTCTGCCCTCTCCCCTCTGCCCTCTCCCCTCCCTCTCCCCTCCCTCTCCCCTCCCTCTCCCCTCCTTCCTCCCCTTTCCCCCTCTCCCCCCTCCCCCACTCACCACCGTGTCCCCAAACAAACAGAACCTGGGCATGGTGTCCCCCACCACCCCGCTGGTCACCGGACCGCTGTGCAGACCCACACGCAACTGAACCGGTTGGCCGTTGTGCGGCAAACGAACGTCCCGGGACACGCGGAGTATCGCCTGGGTCGCGTGTGTGTATGTGCGTATGTATGCGTGTGTACACGTGCGCGTGTTTTGCGTTTTGCACGGGGGAGAAGGGGAAGGAGAGAGAGGGGGGAACGAGGTGTCGGCAGGGGCTCCCGGGGGACTAGAAAGAGGTACACTGAGGATTATGGTTTGGAATGTGGTTATGGATGTCCTGTGGTTGTGGATGGCCATCATGGTCGTACATATGAGGCCCATATGAGGCGCACTTTGCATTTGTTCATTTTTCACGTGTGCTATGTGTTGGTGCTGACCCTTGGCAAGGTTTACGACTGATTAATGGCCCTATAGCCTGTCCAGCCGCCACAGGGCGACGGCAATGTGTGTGTGTGTTTGTGTGTGTGTGTGTTTGTGTGTGTGTGTGTGTGTGTTTGTGTGTGTGTGTGTTTGTATGTTTGTGTGTGTGTGTTTGTGTGTGTGTGTGTGTTTGTGTTTGTGTGTGTGTTTGTGTTTGTGTTTGTGTGTGTTTGTGTGTGTGTGTGTGTTTGTGTGTGTGTGTGTGTTTGTGTTTGTGTGTGTGTGTGTTTGTGTGTGTGTGTGTGTTTGTGTGTGTGTTTGTGTGTGTTTGTGTGTGTTTGTGTGTGTTTGTGTGTGTTTGTGTGTGTTTGTGTGTGTATGTGTGTATGTGTGTGTGCGCACACACGTGGCTGTGGTGTCAGCAGCACCTCCCCGGCCCACCTTGGCGAACTCCATGGTTCGTACGGCATGTAGCGGATCCTCCGCACCGCTGATGACGGACTTGTACCCGTCTTCGTCGTACGCCACCAACCCGCCGGCCACCATGTAACAGTCTTGCGACAAAGCGGGAGGACGGATGGGGATGGGGCGAGGGCAGAAAAGGGGCAGTTAGTTGGCATCAACGGTCGTAACAACCTGGTTGGTTAAAATTAACGAACCCGATGGACCGATAGACCGATGGCAACAACTCCACCTCTAGTGTACGGCACAAGTGCAACACGTGGAGGTGAAGCGGTACTGACGTCAGCAGCAGGCAGAGGCACCTGCGCTGAGCACACAGAGAGAGGCTGACTAGGGAACCAAACCACCAGAACTAACGGAAAACGGACATCAGCGGTTGTGCAGGGTCAGCAAGGCGAGCAGCAAGGGCACAAACATGCCGTGTGAGGTCGCGTCACGTCACTTCAATGTACGGCACACCTACCTCCAATTGTTTCCACTTTATAGACTTTGTAGATATCCACAAGGCCGTCGAATCTGCTGTACAGGTCGTTGAGGAAGGTCATGACTGTGAAGGGGCTGGCGGAGTGGCACATGGTAGTGAAGCCCACGATATCTGGACCACCGGCGTGTGAGGGGGGGGGGAAAGGGGGGGGACACAAAGCAAGTGCACACACACACACACACTGCTTGTTGTAACCTTTTGATTTTGCTCTCTTTTTATTAGTAGCAGATTCCTCTTCTTGCTCCCTTGTTCTGGCAAGTTGTTTTAATAACAATCGCCCCGCGGGTAAGATGGATCCACTCATGGCGGCGGCGGCGTCTGTATACCTCCTCCTCCTCCTCCTCCATGCGCTGCGTGCGGGGCACTAAACCCCTAGGGAGGAAAGCCCTGATCGGCGATCAGGCCGTGCGCTTCCCCCCCCCCCTCGTCCCCTTTCCCCCTGCCCCTTCCCCCGCCCGGGGGATCTCCTCTTCCCGGCTCTCTCCCCCCTCTACACACACATACACACATACACACACAAGCACCCCCGGCTTCGGAGAGACGCCCCACCCCCACCCCCACCCAGTGTTTTTTTTTTAAGTAATATATTACTTTTAAGGAATAAAGAGGCCTTTTTGGCCTTTGGAAATAAGGAACAAAGTGAGGCCGATCCGTACATTTTCATTCCTTCAGCCAAAAACGTCCATTGCTGCCAGATTGCTCCGTAGTGTGCAGAACTTAGTATTATCGATCATAAAATAGATATGAGGGGCCGTAAGAAGGTCAAGCCCGTGAGTCAACGCGGCATAGCAGAATGTATGACCGGTCCTTCCATAGACAAACACGCAAAAGGCAACGACTTGAACGCCGAACAAACACAAAAACAGCAAGATAAGTCTGAAATTTTTCCTGATAAAGGCGTTTG